AATAAAAATTCTAGTATGTAAAAAAGAACTCCCATTTACCTTGAAAATAATAAAGACCAAAATAATTAATATGGTCATCCACAAAATTGAAGTGATATTATTTGGTTTTAATAATAGGATAATAATTTTTAATAAATAATTATATTTATAATTAAGTGTTTATTTGTAACACTACAAAAAAACCTCTTACATTCCAACGGAAATTTTCTGTTGGAATTTTTTATATATCCGTTGGAATAGGTATTCCAACGGATATTCCTACGTATAAAAATTCGTAGGAAAAATGGCCGTTGGAATAGCTAAAATCCAACGGAAATTCCTATGGAAATAAATTCCTACAGCTATTCCAACGGAAAAATTCCGTTGGAATTCCTCAACCATCCAACACTTTTTCCAACATAAAATTAATTTTGTTGGAATATTCATTGGAATTTCCAACGAAAATTTTTCCGTTGGAATTTTTCGTTGGAATTGAAGTGTTTTCTTGTAGTGTAAAACTAATTATGTTACTGAAAAAATATTAATTTAGTCTTCCACTTCAACATAATTAAAGGTGTAATTGCTTGGCCTTGAGAATATGAGAGTAAATTTTTAAGAAATAGTTACATTTATAATTATATATTTATTTATAAAAACTAATTATGTTTATGGTTGAGTTAAATAAAAGTTAAAAAAAAGTGTAGTAAATGTAGCTTTGGGAATAGGAGAGTAATTATTTAATAAGTAAATAAATATATATACAAAATTAAGTGTTTTTTTTTTTTTTTTGTTTTTTAAAAACTAATTAAGTTTATGGTTGTATTACATAGAAGTTAACAAAATTTATTTCAATATAATAAATGTAGTTTTGGAGGGAAAAAGAAATCTTTTTCAGCTGCTTAGCTTTAATATATATATAGATTGTGGGGACACGAGTTTTTTGGGCGAGCTATGCAAAGAATGTTTCTTGTGTTGATTCTTGTGGCCCTATTATAAGCCGGTCGACTTGTTCCTTCTTCAGTAGCTCCACAGCTGAACAAAAAAATAAAAATAATAAACAATTTGACCGTAGATTTGTCATCAACCAAAACTATAGGCAAACAAAAGGTTTGATGAGGTTGACACAGGCATTTTCACAAACAGAAAGCATGCTCTGTAAACCTTTTTTTTCACTGAATTTAAGCTCAAATCAATCAACACATAAAGATCACTTAATAGCTGAAACAAGGTTTAAAAAATGCACATATAACAACTACAAAAAAGGCACTTAAATGCACAAAAACACATATAACAAGCCTCTTTTCCTCTTTTATTTTCTCATTCTCATAGCATACATAAAGAGCCATATGAACTGAGGTTAAACCTCTGAAACTTAGTCACTTTTTACCCATATAAACATGCTAAAAAGGCCACAGCAAAGTCATAACAAAACATTTAATATAAGGCCAAATTAAGTACCTCAGTTATTTCTTTTTCAAAAACACATACATACACGCTAAGGACTTATAAACTGAGATTAAAGCTCTAAAAACACTTCTCTTTCATCATGATGATAATCTCGTAAGGCTCAGCAAGAATGACACAAAACAATGCTAAAAAATATCCCTTCAGGGCCTTAAAACTGAATTTAATATGCATAACTCATCAAATTTTCACATAACAGGTTCAACAACAAGGCAATAATCAGGGCTAACAAAATTCACATAAACTTGTCATAAAATAAAAAATTCTTAACCATCTACAAAAAGTTGTTTTTGTGTAAAGAATATGCTACATCAACTAACTCATGTAGTGCATAATTTAAATTTGAGAAAAGGGCAAAGATAAATAAGGAAAAAATTAGAACCCTAATCACAAACCTCATATACAGCTAGCAAAAACACCATATAAAAAAACCATAATTCGAACCTAATTCGAATTGAGCAAAAAAATGGCGGGGAGGAGATGCTCGGAAACGCTACCTGTTTCCAGATTCGGC